ATATTTCATTATTGGGAATGAAGCATTTTTGTTTTGCTTACTATCAAAGGGTTTCTTTGGGCCCTGACCCTAATCCAGGTACAGGCCTAGCCTCGTTGACTGAAAACATTTTGCTCCATCCTATGTGTATACGTTCTTTTTTGGTGGAGAAGTCATTCAATGAAGGCCTCAGTATAATGGTTTTCATTTTCATATAGTCTAATTCATACAAAAATATTACACTTTCATGCCTTTGTATAATCCATACACATATAGGACTAAAAGAAATTAAGTGCAACAGGTCAACTGAGCATAAAGCTAAGCCAGAATTTGGCTTGTTTCAGTTTTTATCACTGCAGTTCAGACTAGGTCTCTATGCATTTTGACTTTTAAAATAGTTTGTTTACCTTCGCCAGTGCTTCCATATGTTAACTCTCCTTTGTTCAAATGAATTTTCCTTCTGTCATTGCAGAGAAGGTGGGTTGGACGTATAGCCCTACTTAGTTTCTTTGTGCACTGAGATCCAGGGTTCAGTGAGCCAACATAAGGGCATCTTTCTTCTTTCTTCCTTGGATGGATGTTCATTCCAAGTTAATTTTTGCAGTAAACAGTCATAGAATAATTTGCTTGAAAATTGTAATCAGTTAGCTAACTGTCTTGGAGCTTTCTAGAATGTGCTCCAACCCAGCTTTAATTCAGGTCAAGTAATTAAGAAGTGAGGGTGTATTTGAAATGTCTTCTTGGAACTTACCAAACTTCACTATCTTCAAGATTAAGGTGCTTCCTGATATTCCTTCTCACTAAGGCTATGTCTAGACTACATTCCTCTGTCGAAAGAGGAATGTAAATGAAGCAAATCGAAAGTGCAAACGAAGCGCGGATTTAAATATCCTGCGCTTCATTTGCATATTTGCGTCCGAGCGCTTTTAATAAGTAAATGAAAATAAAGTGAAGTACCTTGATTGTTTTTACAATCTAACTTTTGAAAATTGCTGAAGGCCTCAGTGGACCACTTCATGATCTTTCCAAATATTGTTTGTACCATGAGCTACCTATTGTAAATTGCTTTGGATAAGAGCACTTTAAGAAAAAAAAATCTTTCCTCAGTCCACCTGAATGGAGTTCTCGGAGCACACATTGAGAACTTCTATTCCAGATGAAACCTTGTATTTGCATTACGCTAACATGACCCAAAAGTGGAAAGAAACAAACAAACAAAAGCATACGTGTTTTAAACAAAGTCAAAATAATGTGTAGTGCTCTCACAAGATGTGGCTGTAGCATTGCAGATTAAATTTAAGGAATGGCTGGAACATGGCATGAATAAAGCAGAGGCATTTGCATTGTTCAGTCTTGCCTGTAGAGCTGAATATTTTCCTGCCATATTTGCATATTGCCAGCTTTGCCCACGACAATTTTTAATGTTCAAACCTAAATTTGCAATGATTTTCAAAACCGTTGTCTTTAGACATTCAGAAGTGTGGGATTTTAGTGGGACAAAACAAAGAAATTGCTCTACAACTTCACCATTGCTGGTCACGTATCTTAAAAATTAATGTTAATTGGTCTACTTGACTCACATCTGGTGTTGAATCGACTATTATAGAATAGTACTTGGCATCCTTTACTTCATCAGTGAATTGGTTTCTGAGCTGCTCTGCCATTATGATAATGAATTCACTGTAGGTTTGGTGCATTAAAAAATTGGTCTTCCCCGAGTCACAATACTGATAATTTTTCCTATGTTCATTGAGACAATTGTCAAATTCACTAAGATATTCAAGGCAGATTCAAAAAATTACCTTTTTGATTTGACATTGATGACTCCTCATGTCGTCTTAGAGGTAGTCCAAAAGAAGACTGCAGTTTCACTGTGCCAGACCTGGTGCTGGACTGCCTGGCCCTGGGAGCCCCCTATTGCTGGGGTAGGGGTCCTGTGCCAGAGCACGATATATTTCATTGTAAATCCACCCTGTCTTGGATATTGGCTTTTGGAGTGCACACTTTTGGTTGTGGCTTTTTAATGTTCGCAAAATTGTTGGAGCATTACAGTGAGTACAGGCAGTCCCCGGGTTACGTACAAGATAGGGACTGTAGGTTTGTTCTTAAGTTGAATCTGTATGTAAGTCGGAACTGGCGTCCAGATTCAGCCGCTGCTGAAACTGACCAGCGGCTGACTACAGGAAGCCCAAGGCAGAG